TCAGGGCTTTGGATCTGGTCGCAGACTGTAGTGTGAAATCTGAAGCAAGTAAGCTGCTTGCTTTCGGTTTCCGGCCTTGCTAGCTATTGTGACAAGTTGCTTGCTTTATGGTTTTCGGCTGTCGGCTACTCGTCGAAGAAAACTTCCAATCTTTTAGAAAGAAACACTTGGGTTAATAGTTCATGATTTTATTCATGATAATAGATGTATTTTTAGGGAAGCTAATTGAATTAGATGCCTAGTACTATTTTAGGAATCATATTCCGAGTTTTATTCCAAATCTCAATCTTAATCTAATTATAGTTTTAGGAATCATAGTCCTATTTTTATTCCAATTAAATTTAAATCTAAATACTTAATAGAAATCCTTAAATAACTGTAACTCGTACTTAATAGAAATCTTTAAATAATTCCGTCTCTTATTAGTTTCCTAAAGAAACTAACTTCTTAGCCAACTATAGACTTAAAACTTTTTCCATTTGCTGCTTCCATGGTTGCCACGTGCTGCTTTTTCTGTATTGTAACATTTCTCCCCTTCTTGAATTGAAGCTTGTCTGCAAGCACCAAAGGGTCTGTTGCTTCCTTCTCATCTCTTCTCTCATCGTTCTCACACTCTAAATGAAATAGCTTTCTACATATCCCCTAGGATAAATGGTTTATCACAGTTGAAATAGAAACCCTTCTTCCTCCTATTTCCATCTCCTCCCTACTCAATTTCTTGGTAGACTGCGGCAGGTTAGATGCTCGCTGGTTGCCGCTTTCCTGGTTTCCTTTGGTCAGCTCTCCTCTCATAGAGCCTTTGCAAACTCATAACTGTAGTGATGTTGGGTGGTTGGTGTAGCTCAACTTCAATAACGACATATTCTTAGAGGTTACTGATTTAGAACGCTCAGGGGTGAGGGCTGATGCACGCGTGGAAAGTTGCTCGAAATGCTGCTGATACTATATATGCTTGTTGACATTTATTTTTTGAAGATAGCTTTTTAACATTTATATTTAACCATTTCTTCCGTAGTTATGTGTTTTTGAACTATATCCTTATTTCAAACTTAATAAGTGCTGGAAAAATATGTGTGAATCACGCAGTTTTGCTGAGCTCTTAAGATCTCGTCATGCTGAACATGTTGATTACAGAACCAAGGTCAACCTAGAAAAATATGTGTGGATCACAAAAAATTGAATCATTCTAGGTACCATGAAGAATAGAAACTGACTTCTGTTGGGTTTAATATCCATATTAGCAAACGTAGTATATATGATGTTCGCCAATGTGGTTTTGTTGAAAGCTTGAGCTGTTTAAGTATAGAGATCAAGACAAGGTTTTTAGAACAATTCTCATGATAACAACTTTCTTACCTTATCTTCCATAATGAACTAAGATTTGGAAAAATTGGAGAATGCCTCTATTGTTCCTTCAGTTTAACCACTCAGTTTTGCTTAACTACAACTAAGAAAGACTTATGAATTTGACCATCTTTGAATGATGGCTTATTCTCTTTCTTAAGATACCACATGTCTAAAATTTTTCTATTAGAGGACAATAAAATGCAAATTTGGCGAACATGACCAAGAACAAGAAGAGCATGTAAAAATGCTTACTACTTGTTTTGAATAGTGGAAACCAGTTTGGAAAATAGGTCAACTGGTTTGGTCAAATTTGGTTTTAAAAGTAACAATTCTGATACACCCACTTGTGCATTGGTTTTGCGTGATCTCATGCGCCAGCTTTCAGTCACCTGGCACTATTGGGGTTTTAGTTGTTTACTCATTCGGTGGTGGGGGTTGTAGGTTGATGATTGCTGGAAGGTTTGTTGTTGTGATCTTTGGCGACTTGGTGATGCAATGACCTTCAAGCTCTTTTCGATCAATGATGCATTTTAAGGAGAAGTTTTGTGTTAGTATAATACTTTCGATCAATGACCCCTTTGGTGCTTTGTTAATATATCTATACTTTTATTTCAAAAAAAAAGGAGAACTTTTGTGTTAGGGCTTTGGGTTTTGGCTAGTTGGGGTTTTCTGAGTTCCGTGATGGTGGCTGTGGCGATCACCTTTTGCTGGTGGTCATGATCTAGGATGGCATCTGGTAGACTAGATTAGGGTTCGCAATTTTCGATAAATTTTTTTCCAGATGGTTTGGTGTTGTTTGAATGCAAGGTTTTTGGCTGTTTAGTATAAGGTTTTTTTAGCTCTAATATCATTGATGTTGGACATATTAAGATTACTTACTCTAGTATTTGAGATAAAATCTAGATATCAGACCTAAGGTTTTAAGACATCAAACAAGTTTTAAATATCACAGTAAAGATTTTATTGTATAACAAAACCATCAAATTGAGAAACTCCCAAAATAGTGTATTGAATAACTAAACATCATCTCCAAAAGTGAAATTAAAATGACCTTTATAATGTTCTCTAAGTATCCGTTCTGAAATAGAATTAGGCTAAGAAATATTAATAATAATTGGGTTAGAAAATGCTACTGCTGATAAAAATAAGAAAACTAAATACTAAAGAGAATTATAGTCCAAACAAACTCAATAGCAATCCTAAAATTATCGAAATTATAACGTTAGATTCCTAAATAGTATAATAATTTTATATGTAAAAGAATTATTATTTTTAATCTTTTTAGGCAATTTAAATTTAGTTAACTCTGCATCACCATCTTTCCTAGAACATCAATCTCTCTAGAAATCTCAATTACTGGAATTTTGCCGAGTTTTTGGAGCTGATGGCACTTCTTTCAAAGTGTTAGGTTGTTACCTCTTTGGATGATTCTCCTTTCTAGCCCCTTGCTAAGGATGATAAGTTCTCTATGAAGTGTATGACAACTTATGCTCCATAATATTTTATATGAAGAACTACTGACAAAGCTAAGTTATTAACTTATGTTCCATGGCATATCTTCTGCATTGCTATATTAATTGTATTATTTAGGTATCATGTTTTGATATTCTGCCACATATTTGTTTGATGTTCTGTTGGGCAGCTTACTGCTACCACTCAGTTATAACAGATTTACATATTTTGTTGTTTTTCTTTTACTTGTTTAGTTTTCAGTTTATTAGGTTTTAATAATGTTCTAACTGCTAGTAAGTTCATTGATTATAGAAACAGTTTTTCTTTTTTTTGAAATACAAAAAATAAAAACTTAAAGAAAACTAAGATCCTTTTTTTTTAATATGATTATAGAAGCAGTTATTTTTAGTTATCGGAAGACTAAGATCCTTTCTGCAGAAAGGAAGAGAAGCAAAGAAGAATTTAAAGAAAAAGCTTCTTGAGCATTTTCTTATCTTGAAAATTTATGGGTTCTCTGTTAACAAGCTCATACAAGGTCCTATAACGAGATTCTAGGTGGGGACCGACATGAAGTTGTTGCATTTAAATTCCCTTAGAAGCAAACATGGAATAGCAAAGGTTTCAATTGCTTTCTTTTGGGGGTCTGGAAAGCAGCCTGGCGAAGGATCCTCACCATTGACAACTAGAGGAAGAGAGGAAAACATTAGTCAGTGGATTCCCTATGTGCTCTAATAAGCAAGAATCCCCTAATCATCTTCTCCTGTGATGGTCAAAGGCTAGAAGATTGTGGAATTCAGCTTTATGCCTTCTGAACTTGAATTGGATGACGGCTGGGTTGATTTTCAGGAAATTTTTGCTTGGTCAGGTATAAAGCTAGTAAATAGAGGAAAAAGAACCTCTCAAACTTATTCTTATGTCTATCTTGTCGGTCATATTGGGAGAAAGAAACAAGGCTATTTTTTTAGGGCTATTGCCTCTTCTTCCGATAGGATTAGAGACTATTGGTTCCAGTTCCTGAATGTTTTGTTGACACGGCAAAGTATGGTACAATGGATAAAGGCTTCTATCCTAGATGGGTAACTAGACCACATGGCGCAAGGGTATGAAAAAAAAATGTATTGGACAGGATAGTTTTTAGAAATCTATTAGGTGGAAAGTTGGCAATGTAGAGAAAACAAGTTTTTGAATGGATCTGTGGCTCAGGGAGGAAGCGCTTAAAGAGAAATTTTCATAGATCTTTGCAATTGCAAGTTACAACGATATATCAGTTAATGAATCATTTAGAGAATTAGGGGGTGGAAGAAAGTGGCACATGGAAGTTTTAAGGAATCTTAACGATTGAGAAACAAATCATTATGAATCTCTCTTGAGCTCATTGTCTTCCGTATCGTTGAACGTGAGCAATGACCAACTGATTTAGACCCATAATCCAAATGGAACTCTTTTCGGTGTGGCCATTTTATAAATATTTGATCAAGAGTGACTCAGGGGAGAACAGGTTCGATTTCCGGGAAATATGGGGAGTGAATGCTCCTCCAAGAATCTTTTCTTCACTTGGGAAGCAGGACGTGAAGTGATTTTGACCATCAACACGTTGATGAAAGGGAAAAGATTTTAGTGAAAGGGTGCTACCTTTGTAAGAGGGCAGAAGAGATTTGCGGTCATATATGGCGTATGGGTTGTTGGAAATTAGTTGGGTAATGGCGGATAATATTAGGGAGGAGTTATGGACTTGGAAGGGTGTTAGTGGTAAGAAAAAACATTTAGGATTGATTTCTCTTACTATTTTTTGTGGTGTGGAAAGAAAGGAATAGAAGCACTTTTTGAATGGATGGAAGAGGATGTTGATAAGTTTAAAGCTAGGTGGTATCAGACCTTGAGCTTTTTGGCTATGGGTAATTCTTTGTATTCCATGGAGGGTTTAGGTTACCTTGTAGATTATATGATTGATGTGTAAGCATCTTTAATATGAGTCTGCACCCCCTTTGTGCTTGTAATTAATGAATACTTGTTATACTTTTTATTTCACAAGAAAAAAAATTGTTGACAGAGCCTTCCGTCCTTCATAATGTGGATTTGGTGAATCTTATTGGCAGTTTGATGTTTGTTATGTAAATATTTGGTTCTTGGATTGCATGCACTTGGCGCCTCGTAATGATGTTTCATTTTTATCTCAAGAAAAAGTTTGCATACATTGTGAATTCTTCCTCTATATCTTCATTCAACCCCCTAGTTGCAATCTCTATATGTACATACCTGTTTTTTCTTCTAAAAAAAGCCATTGAAACTGGAAATAAATTAATAACCAAGAAGACATGGCTTAGTGATGGACTGAAGTGGCTAGTTGGTTTTCCTAGACTGTCTGAAGTTATGGACAACAATTGCTGTGCTTTTGAGAGAAAAATTTAAAGACGTCAAAATTTCAATGTTACTTTTTTGTCTGAAGATTTTCTATGTTGAGTGAGTTTGTTCTGCTTTCTTTTTACTGTGGTCAAGATTTCTTTGAGATTTCTGTGAGATGAGATGAGCTTGTTGCCTGAATAGTTACTATGTGGTTACATGTTTTGCAGTCAAGTTTACATGGCGAGAGAAATCAAAACTGGGGAAATTGTCGCTCTGAAAAAGATACGCATGGACAATGAAAGAGAGGGGGTTCGTACTTTTCTTTATTATGTCGTTTCAATTTGGCATATAATTCCTTACATTTTAATTCACATGTTTGATATGTTTTTAATTTCTTTATGCAGTTTCCTATAACTGCCATCCGAGAGATTAAAATTCTTAAGAAGCTTAATCATGAAAATGTTATAAAGCTGAAAGAAATTGTGACTTCTCCAGGTACTCAGTTTCCTGGTTCATGATTCAGTCATCTCTGTGTCTGTATGTTGTGTGCAAATAGTATTGGATTGATAGCTTCTTTGCCTGATAAATTTCTTCTCTGCCTTGAAGGTCGGGAGAGGGATGATCAAGGGAGGCAAGGTGGGCTAAATTACTGCATTTAACCTTATTCAATTAATTCTTCGTATATTTTTTGGCTTCATATAACCTTACATATGATCCTAGAAGTGTCCAGGTTAACCTATTTTAAGTATATATTTCTGGATTTACAGATGGTAATAAGTACAAAGGTGGCATATACATGGTCTTTGAGTACATGGACCATGATTTGACTGGCCTTTCTGATCGTCCTGGACTGAGATTTACAGTTCCACAGATCAAGGTATCATATTTCTGGTGGTGTTTTTTTAGTCTATCTCGACTATCTAATACATCATACTGACAGTATTCTTTTTAACAGTGTTACATGAAGCAGCTGCTAACTGGGCTCCATTATTGTCATCTCCATCAAGTACTTCACCGAGACATTAAAGGTGATTGTCAAATTATGATTTTAAGTTAGATGAGATTTTCAACTTCGTTATTCTTAACCCTCGCTTTCACTTTCATGCAGGTTCTAATCTTCTGATAGATAATGAGGGAAATTTGAAGCTAGCAGATTTTGGGCTTGCAAGGTTATTTTCTCATGATCATACAGGGAATCTTACAAACCGTGTTATTACTTTGTGGTATAGGTATGTCTTATTTATGTGTTATTAGTCTGTAAATTCCTATTTTAGCT